TTTGCTCCCTGGGTGGTGACATTATCTTGGGATGCCAAGTGCCATAGTTAGGATGACTATTGCTGTATTGAAATACCATCACCAAAAGCAACTTTGAGAGGAAAAGGCTTATTTGGCTTATATCTCCTGAATCAACAATCCACTGAGCAAAGCCAAGGTAGGAACTCAAACCAAGTGGGAACCTAGAGGCAAGAGCTGATGCAGAGGCCACGGAGAAGTGTGCTCAACAGCTTGCTCCTCATGGCTTGCTCAGTCTGCCTTTTTATAGAACCCAGGACCGCAAGCCCAAGAGTAGCCTCACCCACAATGGGCTGGTCCCTCTCACACCAATCACTAATTAAGAGACTGACCTACAGGCTTGCCCACAGTCCAATCTTAGGGAGGCATTTTCTCAAGTGAGGTTCCTTCCTCTCAGATGACTCTAGCTCAGTGGTTCTCAACCTGTGTATTGCAACTCTTTGGGGGTTGAGCGACCCTTTCACAAAGCCTTGCATATCAGATGCTCTGCATATTAGACATTTACAATTCATAACAGCAGCAAAATTACAGTTATGAAGTAGCAACAAAAATAACTTTACGGTTGGGGTCACCTCAACATGAGGAACTGTATTAAAGGGTCAAAGCAACAGGAGGGCTGAAAACCACTGCTCCAGCCTGCGTCAGTTTGACGTAAAAGCCAGCCAGTGTACCATGGTACCTTTAGGAAGTGTGACACTAGAAAAAGTATGCCACTAGAAGGAGGCTATCGAAGGTTATAGGTTCCCCTTCCTTGTCCCTCCCTTGCTCTTTGCCTCCTAGTGTACCATGATGTGATCAGCTCCCATCGCCAGCTCTCGCTGACTTGCCTTCCTCACCATAAGCTGAAATTTTCTGGAATCTTGAGCCAAATAAGCCCTTCTGCATCCCACAGCAACGACAAAATGACCAACACCATGAATAGTTTCTATTTTTAAAGCTCTCCTCAATAAATACCCATGGGCTTACACACAAGCTCACAGTTGAGCTAGTCTTATCAACTCTCCCATCACAAGGATGCAGTCCCTCAACTGGAATATACAACAGAAGATCGAGAAGAGAAAAAGCCTAAAGACATTCTATGGTATACTTCCTCTCTGGGGACTGTATTGGTTGTTTTTCTAATCACGGTTACCAAATGCCTGACAAAGTAATTTAAAGGAGCACAGACATGCTGGTTCACAACTCAGAGGAATGCCGTCCATCCATGGTGGGAAAGAGATGGCAGTGGGAACATGGTTCATGGTGCAACCAGGAAGCAGAGAAAACTGAATGCCAACACCCAGCCTGCTTTCTCCTTTTCCCCTTCAGATTCATTCTCGGACTCCAGTCCACAAGGCAGTGGGGCAAATATGGCATGCAGTTTGGAATCAAGTCCATGGTGACTTTGTTCTATTCAGCTTCTGCCCACAGGAGCCACTAGCAGGAGCCAGCTGTGCATCCTGCCAGCATCCTGCGATGCTAATTTGCAAATGCTAGAGGGAGTTAAAGTGAAAACTACCTCAGGACAATGAGGGGGCTGGTGGCAATAGAAGGGACCAGAATGAAGGTGTGCTGTATGGCAAATGATCTACAGTAATTGTACTTTTCGTCTCTAATGAATGACTTTACTAAGCATATAACAAGCAAAAGTAAAAGGACAAATAACGAATAATAGATAGACAAAAGACCATCAAATCGGGAGATCACAACACAACGGAAATGATTAGGGAAGCCTTGCTGAAACTCATGCCAAAGTTCTCATTAAGAGATCTCTAAAAAAAAGAGGGAGATCTCTATGTAGAATGTTCTCTCCAGAGATGTGCTTCTGACTTTCCATTCCTGACACACATGTGTTTTTTTTTATACTATAAACAATAGTAGCCTCTTTGGGATAGTTTGCTTTCTAGCTGTTCTCAAGGGAGCAAGGTTTTACTGTCCTTGGCTGTTTACTGCTCTCTGTTCTTCCTATTACCGGTTAGGGGACCAGTCTGTTCCAGGATAGGAGGTCTCAGGGGACACTTGAAATGAAAATGCTTGAGTCTTAAACAAGGGGACTCTTCTTGGCCTCAAAGTCCACTCTTAAGGCACACAAATAGCACATGATAATTTACTAATGTGTAATTGAATCTCTGGAGGATAGGGAAGGATTTACCAAGGGTACTTGGGTGGTCAATCAAGCTTTCACTGGGGTCCAGGGCAGGGGAGGGGCAGGTAAAAGGTGTGGTGGTAAAGACATTCAGAGAAAACCAGAGACAAAAGTTTAGATCAGGGATAGGGATATAGCTCTGTTGGCTGATTATTTGTCTAACATGCACAAATCTCTTGCAATTTCATAAAATTGGTGGTAATGGTGCGACGTCTAATCCCAGCACTCAGGGAGTAGATACAGGGCGATCAGAAGTTTAAGGTCATCCTCAGCTACATAGCAAGTTCAAGACCAGCCTGGGTTAAATAAGACCCTGTCTCAGTGAGGAGGAAATATTACATTTTTAGCACTCTTGTCAGATCCCCTCAAAGATAGAGCTGAGGCAGGGATTTTGGAGCAACTGGTCTACCTGTGTGGCTGTAAAGTCAGTGGGCTGGGGTAGTGAGGCCAGGAAGGAAGGAATAGTGGTAAGGCACGCACCCATGGGATGGAAATGCATTAGATAAGGAAGGGTCAGGTCCACAGAACTCACTAAGGGAGCCAAACCCTTGGAAGAGAAGGAAGCTCCAGCAACCGGTTGAGACACTCCCAGGGGCCTCAATTAACTGCATTGCCCTGAATTTGTGTGTCTGCAACTGAGTAGCTTTTAAAGGGCCTGGTGAACACAGGACCACCTCCACTCTGGCCCTTGGTGTGTGGAACTGTCTGATACCTGGCACTGCCCACCCTAGCTGTGCTGAGTCAGGTGGCAGGCAGAAGGCACCTGACACCAACAGCTGCAGCCTCCTTCGATCAGAGCCAAAGGCAGGAGAAAGAGCAGAGGCTAAGAGCCACGCCAGGTAATGCTGCTCCGTCTGGTTAAGATGTGTTCATGGGGGATGTGTGTGGCATGGCCAGTCTCTCCTTGAAGTCCTCTGAGAGAGGAGGTGCTGCTTGCTGAGAGTTCCAAGTTCCTAGACAAGAATGGATCTTGGTAATTGGAAAAGTTCTAAAAAATAACTTCACCAGGCAATCAAAACATCACCTCCATGCATTTTCAGAAATAAGAGGGAAAAAACATAGGAAGTTGTCCTAAGTAATAGATACTCACGGAAGGTGCTGGGGAGAAGAGTGTGGGAAAAAGTGCTTGCCACACGAGCCTGAGATTGGCCTCCATATACCCATACATGTCTGCACATGCGTACACACACATGCCTACAGGAACATGTATACAACACACACACACACACCCATACACATACACACACACACACATACTGGTGCACACACAAAAAAATTGACTAAGTGACTCACCCTCAAATTAGGAAAGCCATCCATTATATTTGTGCTGAGGTTGATAGTTTGCAAACTGTGTCACTTGTGTAACATTTACAAAAACCCAGGGCTGTGGACAAGCAAGTCAATACATCATTATCCCTGTCATTATCAGACATTGTCTCCATTGCCAGATGCCACCAGCATGGCAGTTGCTATTGTGTCACACACCGAGAACAAGCTCACGGCTGCCTACAAGAGACACAGGGCCCAAAGCCAGTTGCTCCAACTCCAATAGGTACAGCCTTAGCTCCCATCTGCGGGTCCCTTCAGGTGCCTACCCTCTGGGTTTATTCAATTATTATTTACCCACATGTCCTTGGCAGTGAATCCAACACTGGACTCAAGCACATGCCATCATGTTCAGCATTTTACATGGGCATTAGGACTTGAACTCAGATCTTCAAGCTTGTATGGCAATCACTTTTCTCACTGAGCTGTATCATGCCAGCTAGTCCCTGGAAATTTAAACAGAACAGCTCTGAGTGTCACAGCCTTCTGGGCCAGTTCAGTTTCCTAGGATGATATTTAACTCACACCCACTTTAAGTAGAAGTGTGAGCCATCTCCTTTATGAAGAAGAAAAATAAATTCCCAGTACCTCCCAGACCTCTCACGTAAAACCAAGCAATTTTAAAGATTCGTGGCACAGGCAAGTAATCTGCAAGGCAAAGACTCCGTGTGTGATAATGACGCCTTGGAAATTTTTTCAAAGTTGTGTCTTAAAAGTATGTTCTCTGAGCCAAAAAAATAATTGCACATTCATCCCAGCAGATTGAAAGAAAGTCGGGGATTTAGTCTGAGGAAATACATTTGTGGTGTGTGGAGAATGACATTTGGGAGGATATTAGGCTCTGCAATACGGAGGTTCAGGCATTAATAGCTACTTGTAAACAGAACCAAAATAACACAAAGGCTGATAGAAGATACAGCACTCTGTCTCGGGAACACTAGTCTTCCCAAGTGGAATTTCATTCACCTGCCCAATTTTCAGGGAGTCAGATCCCAGCAGATATTTTATAATTACCAATTCCCAGTCAGCCACACAATTGAGTCATAATGAAAGTCTCCAGTTCACCATGCCCGTGTTCTGTAACTCATCTCCCTCTTTTCCTCTTTCCTTCTCTATTTCCTTCCAATCCAAGAGCATCATGTCATCCACCGCAGCAGTTTTGAATGCCTACTGTGTGTGAGCATTTTAATGACAAGCTGAGGTTACAATCAAATGGAAACTTACGATTTATAGTACCATTAGAATGCGAGTATCATGGGAGTCTCACTGACTAGGCTGTTATGGAAGGAGATTGATAATTAAATCATTATAATACAAGATATGTGGTGAGAGAAAGAGAGATGGCTGTGCTCTGGTGATCCGTGGAAGAGAACTGGGCAGGCATAGAAAGTTCAATTTCTCCTCAGAGGAGAAGGGCGCCTCCAGACACTCCTAATGTCCAATGCACACTTGCTCACTGAGGCTGAGCATTTTGTATGTGTTCAACAGGATCCATAATTACCCTCAGCAATGAAGTAGATACGTAACTTACTTTTAAGATCACATGTAGCATGGGTCGTCTCAGCTATCAAAGTCTCCTCAACATGTGCGTTAACTGATCTTCACAATCAGCTGATCAGATTCATCTTCACAGTCAGCTGGTGAGATTTAGAGCCTCTTAGGAGACATATTTTGAGGCATGTCTTTGAAGGAGTCTTCAGATTATTTTAACTGAGGAAGAAGAACCATCCTGAATGTGGGACGGCACTATACCATGGGCTGGGGTTCTGGACGGAATGAAATGTAAAAAGGAAGAGACCGGGGAGCATTGGTATGAATCCCTACCTGTTTTGTGACATGGTGTACACCGTGTGACTAGCCACCTCACACTCCCAGTACCACACCTTTCCATTGTGACAGACCTTACCTCTCAAGCCATGAGCCAAACAATCCTTCCTTCTTTAAGTTGCTTTGATAGGATGTTTTGTCACACATATGAATGCAGATCAACAGCCAAAGCATGAAGGAAGCACAGACAGCACTCACAAAGAGGCTGGGCATTAAAGACCCTACGCGGAACACCAGGGGAGTCCTACTCTCTTGAAAGACATAAAACAAAAGCTCAGCCAGCAACTTACCTCTTGGGAAATTTTTTAACTTGTTTGTATTCAACCAAATTAGTATTTCCCATTATAAGCTTTTTCTCAGACCTTAAACCACATAAGTATTTGATGTATACTCACTATATACAACTCTGAATGAGCACATACATGCTACTTATATTATCACCCTATAAGAAACAGTACATCGAGAGAGAGATGGTGGCTTCTAGTTCTTCTGTACCCAAAAGGCACCCAGCCAAGAGACAGAAACACGGCAGCTCTCCAAGTCCAGTCTCTCTCTGCAATGCTCAGTTCATGACTAGCATAAAATAATTAAGGCGTATTTGCCAAATTACCTCATCCCAGACATTTGTAAAGGTCAGAAACAATGGCAAAAATCACATTTTGTTAAAACAGATTTCACATTACAGAATCACAACATATATACAATCACCATATACATATACTCATACATATATGTACATATATACATTTATACTTTGATTATATTGTGGTTTGAAAAACGCAAATTTATTTTCTCTAATTCTGGAGGCTGGAATTCAAATCTGAGCCATGGGTAGGCTTGCGTCTCTTGCTGCCCCCTCCCTCAAGTTCAGGGGACCATCTCATCGTGTCCCCACCTGGCCTTGCTCTCCTGTCCCACTTCTTGCAAGGACACTACCTCTAATGACATCGTGTAACCTGAATGACCTCTGTAAATGTCCATCTCTAAGTACAGCCAGTGCTTCAGCGTAGGAATGCTTGGGTGTGAGGACACAGTCACACAATCCAGCTCCCAACAGGACCGACTCCGAAGCTGGTGAGAAAGACTCCCTTTATGAGTCTGAATTGAACAAAATGCTCAAAATAAGTTGTTTGTGTCTTTACCAAGCACTTAGTTTGCAAAAGTTGTGCGTAAAATGTAGTTAATTCTTTGTACAGGATTGCCTCTGTAAAAAGAATCCCATGACATAAACAAAATTATTTTAGTCTTCCTACTCTCTGTCCATGCCTTTTAGGATAGATGAACCATGTCCAAGTGGGCCAGGAAACATCTAACAGTGGAAGGCGCAGCAAAATCTCTGTGCCACATGATGGCCTGGGGTGAGTGATATTTAACTCTCTATAACTTCCAGTAATCCTCTAGACATGAGTGCCAAATAATCATACATCCTAGGAAAAAAGAAAGTGTGCTTGCTACAAGAAAGCAGTCTCAGAATAATACCCCCTTCTTCTAATTAGAACATATCTTCAGTGCTGACTTGTAGAAAAATTTCAAGCCCCACTGTCTCTGGTTTATTATTCAGAATAACATAGGAGCTTCTCTTCAAATCAGAGGATGCAAGGGATGGAATTTTCTCCCCCATCACTCCATTAACAGGCCAAGTACAATCCCAATGTTTGCTCTAAGGAAGTTAAAACACTAACAAATCCATATCAGCACTGAAAACGAGAGATGAGGAATACCTCCAAAGATGAAGTCTTGAGCCATGGACTCTGGGACACATGTGAACAGGATATACTCGTGTGTAGGAGAGGACCCTCACTGTCTGCACACCAACCATGCTGAGTCTTTGAGAGAAGCTTGCTGACTGCCAGAACTGCAGAACTTGGAAACAGCAAATAAGAAGGTAAGGAATTCCCCCAAATTAGAGTAAGTCTTGCTGAATCGGGTGGCCACTGATGCCTGTAATCCCAGGACATACTGGGAGACAGGCAAGTTCAAAGTCAGCCTGGTCTACATATTGCATCCCAGGCCAGCCAGGGGTACATAATAAAACCTGGTCATAAAATAGAGTGCATGTCATGTCCCTGGGATAAACAAAATGAGAACCATGCACCCTCACGAAATGTGAGGCCAGGGAGCTGGGTCATTCCTCTAGATGCACATTCTGCCCTGCTGATAGCAGTGCCCTATCAAGATGGTACTTGTGCCGGGCGGTGATGGCACATGCCTTTAATCCCAGCACTCGGGAGGCAGAGGCAGGCGGATCTCTGTGAGTTCCAGGGCTGGACCGATAGCCTCCAAAACAATACAGAGAAACCCTGTCTCATAAAAACCAAAAAAAAAAAAGATGAAGCTAGGCTCCCTGGAACAGGGTTGTAAGGCTGCATCCACCCCAGAGGAAGGGCTCTATGTCCTTCATATAACCATGACATAAGAACAACCCTAATGCCAAGGGAAGGAGGTGAATGAAAAGAGAGAATGAAGCAGGTTGACTAGCACAAACTTCTGCTGCACTGGGCTTAGAGGTGCATGGCTCTGGCCCCTTTAAGGGATGCTTGCTTCCAAGAGCTGGGCAGGTGGCACAGTCGGTAGAGGCACTTCTCATGCAAGTGTGAGGACTTGAGTTCAAGCCCCCGACAGCCACATAAAAAGCCAGGCGTGGACACATGTGCCTGTCACCCTCACATTGGAAGCAGGGGTTCCCAGGTAGATTCCAGAAGCTCAGAGCCCTATCAGCCCAGACAAAACCAGAGACTCTGCCTCACAGCAGTGAGGTGCAGAGGGAGCATTTTTTGTGTTACCTGGGTAATGCAACAGAGTGAATTTTTCTTAGAGTGGATACCTCTGAGCTGTGAGACTGAGAACAGGCTCCTCCCCTGATCCAGGCCGTGGACCCCTCACCCACAAAGTGAGAGGAATGAAACATGCTCTTTGGAGCCCATCAGGGAGCAAAGGCAGGGTTGTGCAAAGCTGTCTAGCCTGGCTCGGCACCCAAGCTCAGCAGTGCAGCCTCAGCAGATGAAGAAGGAAGCCACAGCCTCCTCCACCCTCAGCACCCGAAAGACCCTTGCTAAATCTGACCCCCAACACAATATAGCCCTGATGGTCAGCTCCCACTCTGATCCCAAATGTCCCGGGTTTGCTTTGAGTCTGTTTTTTGGACTCTATGCCCTATAGGCTATCTGTCCTTCCATCTTCCCTTCCGCCAGGGCAGAAGTACAAATACCCACTTGCTGTTCACCCCACAGCCATGTCCCAGCTACACAGTCACCCTGCAATGACACTGACATCTTGAATAACCATGAGGTTACTTTAAATGGAAGCCATTTTCAAGTACTGTGAGCATCAGGAAAAGAAATGCAAAGTACTCATAACACATGGTGAATATTATCATTAAAAGTCAAAATCAGCCATAAACAAGGAGTGGAATAATTGTATAGAACTAAATATCCTGTTAGCCAATGAGAAGCAAGCAAAGGCGTGTGGCACACTACTGGGGTGTCATTTGGCCCAGAGAGCTCACTGCCCTGGCAAATGAGAATTAGATTCTAATTAGCCCATTGGCAGATTTCAGAAATTTTTTTTAGAATATGCTTTCTACAACTGTCACAGTGTCAAAACAATGACTTGGCTGTGTGAGCAGGTGTCAGGCATTACAAGGTGTGTGTCCCGGTAAAATGAAATGGGAACTTTCTGCGTGGGGAGCCATAATTCGAGGCCCTAATTATAGCATCTCAGATAGCTCAGATTGCCTCGGAGTCGGGAGGCAAAGAGGAGGAAGGCTGATTTCCCTCTTTCTCGTCTGTGCCTGAGGCACTGGCTTCTGAACACAGGTGAAGGCAGAACGTGCCCCCTCGGTGTCAGGAGGGGACTCTGAGCAGCTCTGCCTCCCAGCGTCGCCCCTGAGCCACCGCTTCTCCTGAAACACTGTCTTTGGAGGGTTCACCTCTGTTGTTCCTTTAGACTCCAACACAGTCCCGTAAATTTGGCCAGGCAGTGTCCTGACCCTGTTTATAAAGGCACAAACTTACTGACAATGGCATTCCTCATACCCTTACCTAAAACATCTTTCTCCTACGTGGCCTTCCTGCACTAGCAGTAAAGCCCTACTAACATCACTCCATGTTTCCCTTTGAACCGTGAACAGGAAGTAAAGCAGGCAGCTACCATCATGGTGCCTCCCTAGCTGGTCATAAATCTAAACATAAGGTTCACATTCACCCACAGATTGATAGAAGGATGCACCCAGCAGATGTTAGCCTCTTGAAGACCAGGTACTCTGCATAGTACAGAGGTGTTCCACACAGTATCAGACAAGATTTCTGACCCTAGGAAACTCTTATCTGACAAAATAAGTAAGTAAATAACATATATGTTCTTATTTCCTTCATATAATGTTAGCACTTCTGAAGGCACAAAATACTCAAAAGTCTAAGGGAGAGGAGCTCATCACATCTCGAGGTCGAGAGAGGAATCCTGGATGAGATAAAACACAGCAAGGCCCTGATGGCAGAGGAATATGGGGCAGATTTCAATGGGGGAAGGAGGGACTTTTGAATCAGTGAAACATGCTCAATCATTGTTAAACTTCGGGAGAAGTCTTCCTTGGACCGCTAGGGTTAACTGATCTTCTGTTGTGCAACCTCATCATGCCCTCCTGCGCTACACATTTATCTCTCCAGTCACATGTGTTACATGAGCCTGTGAGAGTCTGTTAAAGGGTCTCAAGAATGTATTTAGGTATAGGATAAAGACAAGCACTCACTGATACAGAACCAATCAGAGGCCGCTGCTGATCCAGCTGCCTTCATCTAGTCGTTCTGCCCAGGGGGGAAGAGCACTAACCTCAAATCACAAGTCACAAGCTTCCTCTCTGCCCTGGTCTGCTCAAACCACCCAAGAGAGCTGGGAGCAAAAAGCTCCATCCCCTCCCACAGCTTTTAGGCTATCACTAGGCAGACCAGAAGTAGGTAGACAAGACCACGCCCTGGGGCTTACTGCCCCAAAAAGTCATTGACTAAACAGATCAAAATCCCACAAAACTTATGAGCTCCCTGGGAGTGATTGCTATGCTAAACACAGCAGTTGGTACATATTGTATCTTTGTAATATTTTACCAGTGGTTTAGCTACAAAGCCACAGGTCAGTAGGGCAATGGATGTAGATAGAGGAACCCCAGTAGCAAGGAACACTCTTGGGAAAAGTCACAGCTGTGTTTGAATGACAAGGACTCAGCTTTGTTAAAGCTAGGAGTGGCAAAGGGGACCCATAAAAATGAGTCTGCTAAAGCAACTAATGATCACACCTAGTGATGGAAAACCAAGTAAACTGCCCAGCAGCAGAAGGACCTCATCTGAACTTCAGGTGAGAAAGCAAGCCCATGAAAGGGTGGGGCAAACGGTTCAGAGTAGCAATATCCAAAGCAAGAGCAAGCTTCCGAAAGCCTTTCCCAAGAGTAGCCGTGGGTCTGGCTGGATTTTCAAGAATGAAACGATGAGAGTAATAGAGAGAGGAGCGGCTGTGTCTTCTTGCGTATGAACCCAACGTTGCTCAGGACAAGAAGCACAAAGGTTAGGGATAGGCACCTCTAGGCTCTAATTTCTGCTTTATCTAACCCTTATCTATCCTACCAATGCCCTAACTACTTTGGACATCAGATGAAGGATCATTGTCATTACTGTGGTCATTGGGGCACCTAAAATTCTAAAAACTTCTGTATCCACAAAAGCACATTTTCTTTTGGAAGATAACATACTCCTGAAATAATAGACTTTAATGAGCACTAGTGTTAGAATTAGTGGTCCCTTAGATAAGTCCTGTAAATGGAGTTTTTAATTGGTCCAGACAATAAAAGGCCAAAGTCAGATACAGGGGGAAATGCTGAGAGATCAGAGAAAGAGCAAGCCACAACACACCTTACCTCCTTAGCATCCTAGCAGATGAGAGTGAGTTCCTGTTTCTCCCTGCTTATATCCTGTTTCTGCCCAGCTACCTCACTTCCTGTCTGTCTGTACAGACCTCCAAACCACTATGGTTAGCCAGAGGCAAGCTCCATTCTCTGACCCCCCAGATAGACTTTATTATTTCAAGCAAGGTATCACCACAAAGTTCAAAGGTATTTACCTTGGGAAGTTTTCTATATACTGATCTGAGATAACCAGTCCAGTGTATTATAGAAATGGCAGCTGGTTTTACTGTAAGTACAATTCTCTTTTCTTCTCTGCTCTGGCAGCCATTGGCACTCTTGGCTATGAATTCTGCCATGGGTATCATGATTTTTGCCTTGAACACTACCTGGTTGTGAGCCTATTATCAGTGCTGTAGTAAAGGCTCAATCTCATCCATAGTTAATCTGCCATGGAGAGAAGGTGGCTCTTCTGTTCTTCCCCTGGTGGAGACAAAAGGGGATGTGGGAGGATCTTAAAGAGAAAGGTGAGCATTAAAATTGCTCAGAGAGAACTTCACCCCCTCTAATTCTGCCAGCAGCTAGCCCACACTGCCACAGTTAGGTACCCAACAGTAATGACATGGCCCCAACTCCAAGTTCACAGAACTGACGTGAACAGCATTAGGAAAAGCAGAACTAAGCCCAAGTCTGAACCATCTATGATGTCTTCCCAAAACCAGCCATTCATTGTGTAGACACAAGAAAACACCTCTGTCACTTCAAAGGGGACAAGAGTTTATTCTGAAGTCAAATGTGAGTGACTATGGCCTGGGAACACAGATTTAAGTTACCCCAAATTTCATGTTCCCACAGGAAAACAGTTATGACGTTGTTATAGTAACAGAACAAAGGAAGTCATCAATCAGGACACTTTTTAAATACGCAGTGTAAAGGATAGGAAGGCAGGTGACAGCTAAGCAGGAGACATCAGCCTTAGACCCCAAACTCTCTCTGATGACATTCTTAGCCTTTTGCTTAGTGGAAACTAGGGCTTTGCTATCTTAACAGGCTTCTAAAGGTTTTAAGCACAGGATGTTAGGCCCAACACAGAAAAGTAGGCAAGATGATGATGGTGATGATAATTTTAAAGCCCATTTAGGGAGTTAAAGACAGCCTAGGATAAATTTTAAGTAGGCTGTAGACCCGCAACATTCCATCCTCCCCACAACCACTGACATTCTAATCCATTAATCAGCCTTGCAGAAGGCTCAGTGGGATAGAAGGCTTCATTCAGGAAGCTTTTATTCACAAATAAAACATGGCGTTCCGACACGGGAAGAAGACCTGAGGTGGCTCAGTGGTGGACCATACTTGCTGCTCACGCAGAGAACCTGGGTTCGGTTCCCAGTGCCCCCTGGTTGACCACAACTGTGACTCCAGTTCCAAAGGATCCAACACCATCTTCTGGCCTCTGCAGACAGACATACATACATACGGGCATAAAAATAAATCTTCAAACAACAACAAAAAGTAGAATCTTAAGAATTTAGTGTGAGAATAGGCTTAATTCTCCCTCCATCCCCCTCTCTCTCCCCCTCTCTCTCTTTCTCTCTCTCTCTTTCACACGCACACACATATACACGCACACACACATGCACACACGCACACACACTAGTACCTCTTTTAGAAACAGATAACAAAGAAAACTGACTAGAAACACTTCCTGTCCTGGGAGCCGTCCTAAGCTTAGTAACACAGCAGGTACCATTTCAGCACACGAACTGCTTTTCATGAATCCCCACACATGTTATTATCTTCACACATGTTGCTATTATCCCCAAACATGTTATTATTAACCCCATTTTACAGACCATGGTAACTGTAATTCTGATAAAAGGAACCAACCCTGAGCATGCTTTATGGACATCTCCTCACAGCACTAGGAGAATGAAAGGGTCTACCTGGACACTCCTGACCTCGGAGCCGTATAGACCGAGTGTGAGCTAGTGGATGCTGGTGATGTCCTGCCAAAGCCCCTAAGCCAGATGGCATATCTAGTCCCCAGGGTACTAGCTCTCATGAGTCCCAAGGGTCCCTTCTTTCAGAGAATTGTCTTTGGCTAACAGAAACTGTAGCCTTCCTGGCAGGAATAAAGATAGTCTAAAGAATATGTCCCTCCCCTTGGCTATCAGACTACTGAACTGCTCCCCAAGGGATTGAATTTCATTAAAAAAAAAACCTCACACTGGGAAAGGGAAAGGCTGAGGCTGACACTTACAGCCAGTCAGAGTGGGAGCTTGTCTCCAGGAGAGTTCACAGTTCTGACAACTTGTCACACAGGACACAGTGAAGCCGAGCTGATGATGCCCATGGGCAGGGCCACACCTTGACCTGGACTGCGCAGTCGTGCCTCTTGCCTTCTAAAGGAACCTATGTCAGGACCTGAAGACGGATATGGGGTGGGGAAACAGTGGACCTCTTTGTTCCTCTTCTAACATGGCCACGGTGAGCAACCCCCTCTGCTTTCTGCCCTAATTTGTCTGTTTAATTGGCCCATTCAGGAATGGGGCTGAGTATAGCTTGTTAGACTCAGGCTCTGACCCCAACAAGTCAACTAACAAAACCTTTGCCCTAAAGGATGCGGTCCTAGCATCAGAGATAGCCCAGGGCGAGTCACTGACAGGACCTACTGGGCCTTGGCCAGTGCCAGGCTCCCTGCTGCGGCTTAGGAAGTCCCCTGCCTCACTGCTGAGTCTCCAGAGATGACATTCTTGCTTCCTCCATCCTTCCTCCCTCCCCACCCCACCCGCTGGCTTCCTTTAAGTTCCCGCCACCGATAACACCTCTGTTCCCTGCTCCCCCTCACCCTGCTTCTTATCAGACCTGAGCCTTCTCTGCTGTCTTGCTCACCTGTAAAGCCCCCCCTCAAAGGTCCTAAGTGGGTGTGGAGACGGAAGTGAGAGAGGATGCTATTCCGGTTGGGCTCAGTGAGAAAAGACAAGGATCTTCCCCTCTTTATACATACCCAGGAGCCTCTGGAGTCTATAGTAGAGATCAAAGGGACCCCGGGTATCCGTACTGAATGACAACATTCTTTCTGAGGGACCAGAAATGACAGCAAGTGTACACAATGCAGGGAAAACCCTCTAGCCGTGAGCACTGATGTCCCACTGGAGACTTGTGCTAACCAAGTGCATTTTGTACCCAATTCCCCACAATAGTGGGGACAGGTACAGGCTGCAGCTTGCAGGAGGGGGGATAGGTGGCAGGGGCCAAGGGGACGGTGAGGGGGATTTCAGTTCGGTGTCTTTGCAGGTGAGCCTCCTGTTCGCCTCTTAAACAGAAGGGCGAGCGGATCTCACCCACCGGGTGAAACAGCGTCCTCTTCGATATCGTTTCCTGCCTCCGTGTTTCATCTCGGCTGGCTTCTGTCTCCCTCCACCCTCTTCTGGGCCCCTTTCCCATCATCTCAGCGGGGTGAACCCGAGCTGATGAGGGCACCTGGCTTTTGAGGGGGCTCGTCAAAGCTGGAGGTCAGGTGTGTTTCTTGGATTTAATTAAGCTGGAAATGAAATCCAGCCCTGGAGTAGCTCGTCCGTCCTCTTTATTATCGCGACTCTTACTGCTTGTCAGGCCAGGGTGGCTTCCAGGTCTTGAAAAGGAAGATGTGGCATGATTCCCAGGCAGGGCTCTGTTAATCTGCTTCAAGGGACATTTCAAGTTCCTCCAAGTTATAATGGAAGGAGGGGGAGGAGAGAGAGGAGGAGGAGGAGGAGGAGGGAGAGGAGAAGGAGAAGGAGGGAGAGGAGGAGAAAGGGGAGGAGGAGAAAGGGAGAGGAGGAGGAGGGGGAGGAGGAGGAGGCACTCTCAGCAGCCTTCCTAGGGAAAAGAACTGCCCTCCTCATGAATAAGGGAAAATATATTGTACAATAACATAATTTCCAGTGTGTCTTCTCATTAAAACACAATATGTGTCAGCTAGGAAGAACCTAAAAAATTAAAACCTCATTTGTAACCTCACCAGCTAGAATAATTGATACCATGGTCTCTCTCTTGCCAGATGCAGGTGTGTGTGTGTATGTGTGTGTGTGTGTGTGTGTTCAGAGACATGAAACTATGAATTGTAAAAGAAAACAGAATTCTCTATTCTGTGTCTCTGTGGGGCACTGTGCGGAGGTCAGAGGACAGCTGCTGGAACCAGATCTCTCTTCTACCATGGGATCCAACTCAAGGCATCAGGCTCGGTGGCCAGGGCCTTTACACGCTGAGCCATCTCACCTGCCCTACATTTTTACATATAAACCTACTCACTAATGGCACTCCATATAAAATGCTCGTTCACTAGGCTCAATGGGGTTCCTCCCGTTTTTTGTGCAATATGGAATCGGGGCGGGGGGAATGCAGGCTTTAAAAGAACTTCTGTGCTTGTTAATGCTACTGATTTTCCTATTGCAGTCATGTTTTCTGCACCTTGTAACACAGTCTATAGTCTCTAGGATTAATCAAACGAGATGAGGGGATTTATATCCTGCTGTGAGCCGAGAAGGGAGCTTAACAGTGTCCCAGAATAATATCATTTGACATTCAGAGCCATTAGGCAGCAACAGCAAAGGGCGTTTGTGTTTTAGACTGATTTGTGTTCAGCGGGTGGCAGACCCCTTCCTGTCCCCTTGGCAGCCACAGGGCGCTGACCTTTCTCACTCCGGAGATATGATTGCCTTCACACCAGAAATGCCCAGCAAATCTCACACTGTTAGCTCCATCCCACATCAGCCGCACTGGCGTTTTATAACTGCCTTGGCTTTAGCCGGCTGACAACTCACTAAGATGGGGCTGCTTGCAGAATTAATAACTTCTGAGGTAGCCATTTAGTTGGTTTTCACAAAATTAATAAGGACCGCTTTGGGATAAAAAGAACCCTGCTAGTTCCTGCTCCGGTCCCTTCGATTTCCAAGTAAAGGGAACTGGGACCAAAGAGGGGAAGGGGCTTTGTTTCTAGAGTCTGAGAGCTGGCTGGAACCGTGGCTTTTCACATTAGCAGCATCAGTGTGTGACAGGAATCCTGTGTGTGCGCTGTGATAGGGATGCAGCAGCTAAGAAAGGAGCACCAGGCGGAAGCAGGGTGCAGCGGAAGCCTGGAGGCTCCTCATCCCACTCAGTTAGTGCTGAGACCCCCTGAGGAGGCCCCCACCCCTGTGAAGCTCAGATTAGTCATGTGACGATAACTGCCAGGTCCAGGGTCACACATCACACTTCACTTTCCCCTGGTGTGAACAGAGAAGCCCTATTAACCGATAAAGGGTGGGCAACTCTCACAGTCTTTTCATTTGCAAAAGGAAAACAACGGCCTCTGCCACAGCAAATGTGATCCTAGAAACCAACCAGGTAATGGACATGAGTGGGCATCATGAGTCCCCCACACCGCTTCATCCCTGCAGTACCATTGGCAGCAATAATCCAACCCCAACTTGGAAGAGGAATGGTGTCCCAGGCTTGGCCTAGGCCAGTAACTATACAGAACTACTAAATGGAAAATGTCAAAAGTAAAGTCAGATTGACAGATAGACATAAATGACAGATAATATGCAGATGGTAAATAGCAAATAGATATATAGGTAGATGATAGATAGATAGATTGTAAATAATAGAAGATAGATATAAATGATAGATGATAAATATAAGACAGATAGCTGATAGACAAATAGTTCATGATAGGTAGATAGATATAGATAGATAAATGATAAATAGATAGCAGATAGGCAAATAGATGATAGATATAAATAGAAAGATATATGATAGAGATAGATACATAGATAATAGATAGATAGATAGATAGATAGATAGATAGACAGACAGATAGATAGATGATTCTATATTGTTTCTCTGGAAAACAATACAAAGAACAGGCACTAACCTTGGATCAAGCAAATCAAACAATATGGTAACAATATACAGCAACGAGGTCAACAGCAGGCTCTGGAGGAGTTAAAAGCCTTCGGTCACAAAATTTTAACAGTAGACTCACAGTTACAAATGGCAAACTAAGAGAGTAATGTCACATTAGACTATCTAAACACTGGCCTTTTGCTCTAGTCAGGCTGGGACGCCTGTGTAGGTTAGCTGGTCTGAGTAATGGAAGCCCAGGCAGCCTGTGTTATATCCTGCTGTTGGCTGTGAAGTGTCTGCCATTGGTGTATGTGTGTGAAGTCTTGGTTCCTAGCTAGTGTTTCTATTCTGGAAGATTGAGAACCTATAGGAAATAAAACCTCACTAAAGTCAGTAGGGAGTCTGGGGGTTCCATAGCCCCGCCCCACTTCCTGCCTGCCTTCTGCTTCCCCGATGAAGATGAACCAGATACCTCACACTCCTGCTACCAAGTCCTTTCCACCATGATGGGCTATACATCCTCAAACTGGGAGCCAAAATAACCCCTTCCTCCCTTAAGTGGCTTCTTGTCAGTTATTTGATCATAACAATAAAAGTAATCAATAAGGGTCACTTGTATTCATTATTTTTGAGATTCTATGGCATATAACATAACCAAAGAAAATGACTCAATCTAATACCCCTGACACAAAAATATTCTCATTTACCATCTCAGTTTTTCCAGATGAACAAATCTGTAAACTTATAAAGGATTTTTCAAACAGTAGTCCTCAGGAGTCAAGCTAAGATTCCATTAAACTAGCTATGGAGTGATTATAACTTATGGCCATGATTGGTTCAAAACTAGGCATGTGACCTAAAGAAGACATCTGAGAATTTTTATTAGACAGACTCAGAAAGGACTTTTCTCCTGGGGTTACGGAAAACAAATAGTTGACAGCCTGTTCAATCAAATAATACCCACCTAAAGTTGGTACTTATATAACTTCTGTTCTGTATGTCAATAAATTCCCTTTGCATGTAACCCACAGCCAAGTGCATTTTGCAAAACTCTTTTATGCCAACACTTCAATAATCCAACAGCCCAAGAAAAGAAAATTAATTTGTCCAGATTTTACATGCAACTTTGCTAACTTAAAGACCTATTTGGGATAAAATATTCCCCGTTTAGTAATGGCTGGCCTTTTCTACATATGCTTGCCTTTCATTTATATGTAATTCTGCCCTTTTCTTCCTCCCTTTCCTCCAAAGTGGTACCATACAGGTTGCTAGGCAATTGTCCCTGACAAAGTCTCAGCGTCTGTCAATAAAATGGAACATTCTAGATGCTCGGTGTTCTCTGTTCCCTTTTAGTACTGAATGGGGTGTCAATCAAAACACGTCAGTGAATGCCGAGGGAAGGGAGAAAGGCCCTGGCAGCTGGGAAATAAAAGATGACTATTTTTAAACTAGCAAGTCCTTTCTTAAGTAAGGCCAAGTTGAGTAAGAGGAAGACAAACCTCATCACATTTTCTGGAAAGTTAAAAGGGTACCTACAGACCAACCCATCACGCTGATTCAAATCAGTGTCCTGTTTTTGATGGGGTTATTATTCTTTGTGAATCAGAGAAGAAAAACTC